TTATATAAATTAAGGTAATTTAGAATGTCAGCTGTTCACAGAAAGCAAGTTGTACAGGTGAAGAAATACAATAAAGAGTATGCAAAGTTCAGAACTACAAAATGAAAAAGTATTAGGATTCAAAGTGAAACAGGGGTGATACCAGTATAGCCCATTTTTGAGCCCTGGTACTTTTAATTTAGCTGCCTGGCAGAAACCTGTATAGATAAATACGAATTCTTAGTCACTCTAATTACAAAGTTGACATTATTCTCCTAAGAATTAGGCCAATTCTTAACGACACTGCATTTGAGAAAACGGCGAACTGCTGAATCATCTATCTAGAGAGAAAAAAGTTTTAATAAATACTGAAAATAAGTCACCACATATATATAGGTTTACTTTTTCATTTTAATAGGAATAGTGTGGGAACATTATGAATCTAAATCCTCTTTAAGGACCTCTCTCCAGCATCTCAGTGTTCTAACATTAACTTCTCAATCAGTCACAATAATTCTTCTCATTTCACCAAAGTTACTTTCTTTTTTGTTTGTTTTGTCAAGAAATTGGGGGCAGGGTGTTGATAAATACACTGAGCAGAGGAAAAGAATATATACAAAAATACATCAGAGGTAATGAGAAGGCAAAAGTAAATCAGCAAATGGGAGTAAATTCCCATTTATTTTAATACGTAAGAATACCTACAAGGAAAGAATATTCTACCATATGAGTATTTGTGTAACTCAACAATAATGAGTATTCACGTAACCAATGTGGGACTTAAGAAAAAAAAAAGTAATGGTACTTTTAGACAACTCTCCAAACTATACTTAGTTAGGGTGCTGAAAAATTATGAAAAATACAGTAATGGGGTCCACCTGCAAGTTCCGAAAAACAAATGAAGAACCTAAAGTTCTGGAACAACTCCATAAAAAAAAATCAATGAAAATGACTTAAGCCACATGGGGGGGCGGAACCCTAAGAATTTAAAAGTACTTTATAAAGACTATGGAAGTGATAGGACTAGAAACCAAGTATGTTAAGAAATACACAGTTGGATCAAGGAAAATATGTCATCTAAAGAAAAAATAGAACTAGACTATGGCATATAACATTTCAATTAGGTACTAGATTATCTGTGGATCATAAGGACTGGAATATGTTTAACGCAAGTTGCAAGCACCTGTATTACTTTTCCAGACGCTTAAGAAAATAAGCAACAATCATTTGGGGTTGGAACTGATCAAGTTTGTTAGACTCCATGAATTGGGGGTTACATAAGTAAGGTTACTTTGCAAAATCTACGTAAACCTTAAGCTCTCATTGGGCCTAATTTAAGAAACAAGGTTTCTTCATTCAAAGGGCAGTGTGAATCTGAGCACTGGTTAGAACATTTTGGATCCATTCATTTATCAATAAGAGAGTACCCCCATCTATCACAAAGTTAAAAAAAAATCAACAACAGTTTGAGTGTGACACAAGAATTAGTATTCAGTCATTGCAACGGAATTGTTATTATTTCTGAATCCAATGGTGGTTCGCAATTTTGTCTAGCAACAATGAAGTCAAGAGAACTTCTCAGTGACATTCTCTTCTTACAAGTCAATGGTTTCTTTCTGATTTAATATAGAGAGGCAGAAAATACGTGATCACTTCCATCATTCCGTTTTCTACCAGTATTATAACTAATAGCTGATCTAACATGAGACTATCAACACAGAAATAGACAAGGGTGATGAGGCAGAGCCAGCTATAAATCCTTAAAAGTATCACAAATAATATGCCCTTTATGTAATTGAGTTCTGTATCCCTCACATCTTCTCTTGAAATAAAAATGTCTGCTAAATTTGTCTGGCTATGTTCATTATACTGTTAGATGCCCTGAGTCTCAGTCAAACCATGAAGTTATTTTCACATGTTTAAATATGCTTTCATAAAGTATAATTCTAATAGCTCTACAAAGAGAACTGGTCTGTGCTTTTAAATCTTTGCTTGTACAAAAGGAATAGAACTCCTCATTACAGGTTATCTGTAAATTTAATGTTCACTTTTTTTCCTATTTTTACAAAATATTACCAGGATTTAGTTTATTTGTGAAAACAAAACTGCTGTGCTATCATCATCGTTGCAAAGAAATAAAACTTCAATGACAGTTTATTCAGATACAACCATTAATAAATCCAGTCATGTTATAATGTGATTAAAGGTCTCTTTTCACTCCAGAGTATGAACTCTATGAAAACAATACTCAGGTCTAAAATTTCTATCACTCTAAATCCCAAAATAGAAGTTGAGGAATTTTGAAAAAGTTAAAAAATAGTTCATTGTTATTTGCATATAATTTCCTTTGATTATTCTATATCCACTGTAGTGTAATGGTAACATTTTAATTATCTGTATATAAAAAGAGAGCAGGTACTGCATTCCTTAAATTGCATTATAAAGAGAATACTCTTAAAACTCTTGTATTCTTAAAAGTGAACTTTAAGATGATCTTTTAAAACTGAGTGTCCTCCCTCACTTACCTACAATGATGTATCATCAGGTTTCCAGTCTCCTCTTTAAAAGTTAGTCACTTAATCACAAACACTATTCCACTCAGTTTTCGGTAACAATGAAATAGTGGGGTTCTTAAGAAGTACTGAATTGAACAAGTACTGAACCGAGGTCTCATTAAGTAACAAAAATGGGAGGATGGGAGGGAGGAAGAAAAGAAGGAAAGAAACACTGACTTTTAAAAAGCTTCAAAACTAAAATGAAATTTTATGACCCTAATGATCATCATGTACCTAACTTTATACCCACTTTATTCATGGTATACACAAATAAATCAAAACTGTAAATTAATTAACAGTATTAAACAAACGCTACATTTTAACATTCCAGTACACTGAGAATATACTCATCCATAACTCATAGTGACAGAAAAGATAAACAGGCCCCTTGACAACATGAAACATTTCCCGAGGTACGCCACAATGCAAGATTGAAGAGGAAAATATCTAAAAGCTCATCTTGGCTTCAGTGTTGACCTCTAACATAGACTTGCTATTAAACACACCCCTTCTGTCTCCACGGCTGCCTAACCAAACTATTTGAGTCAGGAGAGCATGCAAAGAGGTGCCTTCCAGGCAAACTCTTGTTTTCTACAAGTTAATCTCTCCAAATACTTCCAGTTGGAAACCGTCCACTTCAGCTACTTGACACCAGGGCGTCACTTTCTCCCCTCGGCTTACCTGCTACTACTTAACTATTCTTCCAAGTAGACTCTGGGCATGTTGGGGAGGTAGCTCTTTAAGCACTTCCGAATCCATGAGGACTATATATGTACACATCTTACACACTCCCACAGGTCTCTCACACCCCTTCTCCCTCCGGCCAGTTCTCAGCACTCACCCAGGCCACGTCCGGAATGCCAGCCCACCTGGGAGCCAACAGTACTCGAGGAATAATCCTCAAGATCAAGAAACTGACTAGATTGCAACATGTGGTGAGAGAAAAAGGGGAGGGGGGGGAAGGATTGAAGCATTACAGATAGCAGCTGTCCATTAAATGGTTTAAATCTGTTGGTTAAAAAGCTGAATAAACAAATTCACAGATGGGTCTGTTTCCTTGGGGATTCCGGAGTCTGAGGAGCTCCCTAAGCAGTGTCCGGTTTGGCCTCTCTGGAGTCGTCCCTATGCAAAACTCGCACCGGTTGCGCTCTCAAAAGCCCCAGACTCGCACGTGTCTTTCCCCTCCGGTTCCTCCTAATCGGTGTCACCCCACGCGCCAGGTGCCCTGAGAGACTTACCTAAGAGGTCTCAGGGTCTGAGGATAGTAGGGCACCTTCTCCTCCCTGCTCTAGACAGGCCCAAACGCCCTCAACAAGCGAGGGTCCACAACGACGCTCGCACCGAGGTCGGGGTGTCGGGGCGCGTCCCGGCCTGCAGAGCGGCGAGCGGCGCGCCCGGCCACCCAGTGGGTCCTGCCGGGCAGCCGCCGCCGCACGTGAGCCGCGGCGAGCGCGAAGGGCCGTCGGGACGCGAGCCTTGCCCGGGTCAAAGCCAACCCGAAGCTACCGACTGCCCTCCGCTCGCCCGGGGCCTCCACGGACTTACAGGTAAAAGCCCAGGGAGAAGCCCTCCCTTTCTCCGCAAGGTGCCCGCGCCCCTCCCACATTCCCTCCCTAAAGTACCGGGAGGCGCGAGTTCCCCCGAAACCTCCGCACAGACTGAGGAGACCTTTGCACGGCAGAGTAAAACTAGGACAGACCCCGGGTGAAGCGGCTCTTGCTAACTGGGGGCAGGGGACCGAGCGTGATCGGGGGCAGCAGTCAAGATGTACCATTATCCCGAAGCATCACTAGGGGCCAGGAGTTTCTTCACTGGGGAAACAGTTGTGTCCCTCTCCGCCTCTAGTTCCCAGGAAAGTACTTCTTAGATGAACGCTGAAGCACCTAACTTACAGACGGACGAGCAGCATGCACTTGCCCAATTGAGTAAATAAAGGTCAGCAGTTGGATCAATAGTGTGCTTCCAACCGCCAGATGTTTTTGCTGTTGCTTCTCCTCCCAGGGGGAAGGGGGGGGAAGGGAGGAGAAGGAAGAGACAACAAACAATAAAAACAAAAGAGTAAACAAACACACATCTGGTGTTTCGACACACATTTTCCTCCAGCCGCGGTCTCTCTGGACGAGGCACAATTTTGCATATTCAAAACTAAAAATTAAACGTGAGCCAACGGCAACCTCCTCTCTGTCGATTCTCCCTTCCCCCCATCACAATGCAAAATGAAAAGCAACAACAAGTGGTGCTGTTAGGTCCGGACGGCGACCCCGACGCGGAGCCGAAATTTGACACATGTCACACCCGCCCCGCCGCACCGAGCGCTGCGGCTGGGGCTAAACTTTGCGGCCGCCGCCGCCGCCGCGGGAGGAGCGCGCAGCAGAGTAAAGTCGCAGCCCGGCCCGGCGTGGAGGCGGCCGGGACGGGGTGGGGTGTGGAGGTGCAGCGCGCCAGAGTGAGGGCGAAGAAACTTACCGCGACCTGGGACGCCGGGGCAGCGTCCCGGGAGGTGGCCCCCGCGGCGCCGAGGCAGAAGCCCCCAAACAACACACCCACGAGCGAGTCCCGGCAGCTGCTGCCACGAGTGGGGGGCGCGCCCTGGGCGGGGGAGGGGGGGCCGGAGGAAGCCGCAGCCGGCAGGCGCGGCCGCCGCATAAATCACCGCGACGGGCGCTCGCGGGCAGGCTGCGTGCGGCGCGGGGCTCGAGCCGGGGCGCAGCGGCCGCCGCGGAGCTGCACGCGCCGGCGTGTCTCGCGCTTTCTCGGAGGCTCGCGCTGTCTCGCGCTGCCGCTCCCCCCACCCGGATCTGTGTGTGTGTCTGTATGTGTGTCTATGTGTGTGAGTGTGCGCTGGCGGGCGCGCGCACCCGGGCGCGCGCGCGTGTTGTTGGCAATGCAAACTGTACACACACTGCGCGCGGAGCCGCCTCTGCTACGAGGGGCGGGGTGGGGGAAGGGACGCCTCGGAGGATTCTAAAGTACTGCCGGGCCACTTGTTTGTTTTGTTTCACTTCGCGTTGTTATTGTTGGTTGTTGTTGTTGACCCGCAAAGTGGTTTGGAACCAGCCGCTGAGAATGCCTGTCGCCCCCATCCACCTATCTCCCCCGGTCCCCCAACTTCTTTAAAGGAGGGGGAGACGCGGAGCCGAATATTGTTCGGATTGCAGTGGAGCCTCCTGGCTGACGTCAGGTCCACCTGCTATGTAAACAACCCGCCGGAGAACTTGTTTGTTCTGCGCCAGATCTTCCCCCACCCCCACCCTTCTCCCCACCTCCAGCTCCGCCTCCTCCCGCTCGGCCCAGACGGCGCGTCGAGGAAGGGGGTGGGGAGCGAGGAGAGAACAAAACCGTATGCTGTATTGGCAAAGCCGAGTTGTGTCTGCTGCTTCTTGGCAGTCCCCAAAGTACGTCCTCTCAGCAGACGGAGCTGCTGGCAAATGAAACAGGGGATTCCACGTGAAGTGCAGAAAGCCTCGAAGGGATCCAAAGCCCTCGGTGGCAGCGAGTTAAAAGTGCATGGTAGTGAGACAGGGAGACCCAAGCGTGCGTTAAAACGCTGATTGGCCTTTCTTTTCACGGTGTGCGCCTCTGCGGCCTGGGCTGGAGAGAGGCCGAGTGTCTTTCTCACTCTTCATTGTTGTCGTGGCTCGTGTCTCACTTGGGCCCGGGAGTTCCTGGGCTTCCTCGTGGTGGCCCTGTCCGGGTCACCCGCGTGGGGCTGGGATGCGGGCCGGCCGGGGCGGAGCTTGAAAAGAAGGGGCCGCCGAGCTGGGACGTTTTAGGGTTTGAGGCTTTCGAGACGGGCCCTATCAGTGACTGAGGGTTGCCCAAGTGCCCGGAATGAAAGGAAAGAAGAAACTGCCAGAGCCCGCTCCGCGCGCACTTCAGAGCCGAGGCGCCGGCGCGCGGGAGATGCGCGGGCCCAGCCTCCGGCGCCCGGGGCCCAGCTCCGGTCCGTGGAGCACGACCCAGCCGGCGGGCCCACGCGGGACCAAGGGGATGACGAGGGAAAGGCCGAGGGAGGACCAGGCGGGCCTGGATGGGACGCGGGACCCGACTGGGGATTCCTCGGGAGTCTCTTCCCCAGGCCAGCTCCCGGCAGGCGGGTCCCGCCCGCCGCCTCCCGCCGGATGCTCCGCTGCCCGTTGGCTGCGCGACCCTCCACCCGCCGCCTTCCCGGCGAGCTGCCGCCGGAGCCGGCCGCTCAGCTGACCATCAGTGGCGAAGCGTGGCGTTCCGAAAAGCGCTGAAACTTTCTTCCAAATAGCTGCAGCCGTGAGGCCATTGCGAATTAGAGCCTGGCCCCCAGCAGCTTCCCGGCCAACTTTAACATCTCCGGTGGCAGAGAGGGGGAGGGTGACTGGGGAGACGGGCGAGCCGCACTAACTTCTGCCTTTGAGTCTTTCTTTTCCTCAAAGAGCAGCGCGCCCTTTCTCTAAAGGGCAGACGCGAGCTCACACACACACACACACACACACACACACACACACACACACACACACTTGGCACCAACTCTTCCCTTCAGAACCCGCAGTTCTCCCGGGGAGGAAGCAGCCCTGGCACCCACATCTGTAAACACACCGTCAGCTTTTCTAGTGAAACCAATTAAGTCAATAAGCCAAGGGGCTGGTCGTGGGAAGACGGCCCCTACCAGGAGCTCGAGCAACGAGGGAGTTGAGCTTTGAATTGCGGCGCTTTCTGCGAGCTTTTAAACTCCAGGTAGTCCTTAAGTGCTCTGCTTATGCATTGTGTTCTCACTCTTTTTAAAGTTGTCTTTTTCGAAATGCAGGCTGAATAGTGGACAAATAACCCAGATTTTTTTTTCCCCCAAGATGGGAGCAGGGAGAGAAGGAGAAAGCATTCTTTAAAATTATAAAACGCCAGACCCAAAGGTCCCTACATCGCCCTTCTGAAAGATTGGGGCTAATTTCATGTTAAGTAACCTGCGTTTATGCTTCATTGATAAACCTACGTAAAAAGCGGATTCTCTGAATTAACCTGAAACTATTTTGAAAAAGACAAGGAGCAAACGGTGACGAAATCTTTGGAGAGCTGCGGATATCTTTCCTCAAGATAGGTGGGAAAAGGTAACAGAATAGTCAAGAGGGCTACAGAGTCCCACTTTCCCCCATCTGCTTCCTCCCCCGCAGACACCGACCCTATTTACTTCTGTCTCCGGGGGTCTGGAGGAAGTGAGTGGGAAAGGTTTATTAGAGAGGAGTCTGGGCCACTTGGAAGAGAAGTTCAAGTTCCCAACGAGGAGAAAGAAGGCTAAGCTCTCAAGACTTGGAGAGGAGCGGATTTAGTTTGCCTTTCTCTTTTCTGTACACAAAGACACGTTTTGGTGAAATTCGCAGCCTCTGACGTTTCTCTCCTGAGAGTACAAATAACCAGGAGCCAAGAGGTGCAGAAGGCTATCTCAGGCCGAGGAGCCATCTTCCTAAATGCGCCGTGTACCCTTGACACTCGTCTTTCTAAGCGGGGGTGAGCACGCCAGGGTGCCCCCGGTGCCCCCGCTTAACTTCGCCCCATTATCTCCTTGCCTGCTGCCATTCCCCGGGGCCACCAACCCTTCCCGCAGAGAAGACGCCCAGGGAGTTAGGAAAGCAGGTCATGCCCAGAGCCGCTGCCCCCCTCGCCCGCAGCCAATGGGCTGGGCCCGGGTTCGAGAGGTGAAAGTTCAGGCCCAGGGCTGGCCGCTCGCTGCCCCTCTCCGGTCGCCTCTCTCTCCCCGCCCCCGCCCCTGGCCGCAGTGCAGACACAGCCCCGCTACCAGGGGCTGCCACGGTGGCACGTAGTTTGTTGATGGGTGGTCATAAAATATATTTATTTGCAATTCCTTTAACTCGCCCACCACCCCCGCCCCAGCAGGGCCCGAAACACTGCGGGCTTTGTTCGCCTCGCTGCTGCTGGAGCCGGCCGGGGTTTAGCGCTCTGTGCTAACAGACTCCAAAAAAAGTTGAAGTGTAATAATAGGAAAACCGGGTTTCCGCAGCCGAGGAAAACGCTGAAAGGGCAAACAGCGAACGAATAGTTTTCTTTTGCACAAGCCACTGGTCAGCCCGCTGGATCGTGGCAGTCTTGCAACGAAACACTGCCTAACGGAGAAAAGGGGAAAGCCAAATTCTGTCCCTGTAGTCGCCGCGCAGGGTCGCAGCCACGGTTCAAGCCTCCTTGGCAGCACGTGGGGCTGCAAAAGTCATTTAGGAAGGTTCCAGGGTAAAGTTACACGCGGATACTGGGTAAGTGGGGAGTTTCACCAACTGGACCTCGAAGTGCTCGCACGAACATTTATTTGATTTCAAGTTCCTTTTACGATGAAACCGCAAATCAACAAATTCCAAGCCCCTACTCTATGACGGTCTAGGCGAAAGAGAAATTCGTTTGAGATGATCTCTGCCAGCGCATCTTGCGCGAAATAACCCACCTCGAATGAAACTAGCTAAGGCCAGGACGAAGGAAAGCAGCGTACGCGAGTGACACGTATAAGAGATGTCGGTTTAATGCTTCCCCGAGCGGACTGCTTACATTTCTAGTTATTTGTTATAAAATTATAATTATTCATACAGGTAGGTCTACTTTCTCCCAAACTTTCAGTTAAACAACAATTACAGTTTTTTTGTTTTTGTTTTTCTTCAGAGCCGTTTCACTGGTGTCAATTGTGACTAATACTCAAATTTGACTGATTGGAGAGATCGCTGGGAGAAAGGGTAAGGGGCAGGTTTTTATTGAATTACAGTTTTTCTTTCAGAGATACTGTCTTCAAAGTTGTACTACTCACTTCAAATAGCTTGTAACAAAAGTCTTCTTCAAATGCAAGGTGAAATATGTTCCCTTTCACACACAAGAACGGGCACATATCAGGTTCCTACTTTTCCCGTCCTCTACAGTTTTCTGAAGATGAGCAAATAAACAGACTCCTTTTAGACATTCTGCTATCACTACTCTCCTCCCAGACACATTTTAGGAAAGAGAGAAAATTCTAGTTTCACGGAAGTCAAATCAAGGGTAATCTATGTTACAAAGTCAAATTGAATGTAGAGGTTGGAAAATTGGTGGAGTTACACCACCATCTGTCGTTAAGCTTCGGGACTACAAAATTTGGGACCTGTAATAAATCTTAATGAGCTTTCCCAACTTTTGTTTGTTTTAAATCACAAACTATACTTTTCATTTGTATTTTTATAACATGTACCCTAAATTTACCTGAATCCTAAAGCAACACATAGGCGTTCATGAATTCATGCTTCTACCTGGCTTCACCAGTCATCTCATCATCAGAAAAAAAATAAATAAATACTCACTTCTGCCAGCTTCCAGATAAAGCCTTTACAAATCAGTTGTGGAACTGCAGATTTCCATTACCGACCCCCCCCCCTTCCCTTGCTTCTAGTAGGTTAATGATAGAAACATGGAGCCTCCACTCAGTGGCCACCCAAGTCCTGAAGCCAATAATAGACTTCTAATTCTCTCTTGAATTTAACCTCCTTCTTTGTTAGTATATCTAATCTTGAAACATATAAACACAGCATGTCTCTGCTAAGAGATTGGCTGTGTCTTTAAAAATTGCTTGAAAGACAGTTAATGTCAGGTTCTAGTTCTGGTTGATATCAGTGCAAAGACAAAGATCAATTGCTCTGGGATAAAATCTTGCCAAGGAAGGCTTTATCCAACTGAATATAGAAAAAAGACAACTACTGGATAAAGAAGTCTAATGCTCACCCAAAAGTCTCCATCAAGCAATGAGAACTCCGTTTTGTTTTTCACCC